TATACTCCAACCACCATCCCCATCTCCGAGATACTCACGAACATCGAGGAAAGTGGGATGGAAAAGCTCCTCAAGCGACCTGAGAAGCTCCGAGGGGACCCAGAGAAGCGCAACAAAGATAAGTACTGTCGTTTTCACCGCGACAACCGCCATAATACGACAAGCTGCTGGGAACTGAAGCACCAGATTGAAGATCTCATTCAAGATGGCTACTTCAAAAAATTTGTGGGCAAACCGAGGTCTAACTCGGTCGAAAAGAAAGAAGATAGGAAGCGTTCAAGAACGCCGCCTCGCCGGAATGACCGACCTGCAGTCATCAACACTATTTTTGGAGGCCCGAGCGGGGGCCAGTCCGGAAACAAGAGGAAGGAGCTAGCTCGCGAAGCCAGGCGCGAGGTATGCATCATCAAGGAGCAGAAACCTACTTGCTCTATCACTTTCGGCGATGCCGATTTGGGGGGATTCATTTGCCCCACAATGACGCGCTCGTGATCGCCCCTCTCATTGATCACGTCCTGGTCCGAAGGGTATTGGTTGATGGAGGCGCATCTGCGAACATCTTGTCCCTCCCAACATATTTAGCATTGGGATGGACCAGGTCACAATTGAAGAAGAGTCCAACACCCCTAGTTGGATTCTCTGGAGAATCGGTCACCCCAGAGGGGTGCATCAACCTGCCGGTAACTATAGGGCAAGATGCCACCCAAGTAACGCAGATGGCCGAGTTCGTGGTAGTCGACGGCAAATCGGCCTACAACGCCATTTTTGGGAGACCCATTATCCACTCATTTCGAGCTGTTCCTTCCACGTTGCATCAAGTCTTGAAGTACTCAACCTCTAATGGAGTGGGCACGGTCCGAGGTGAACAAAAAACTTCAAGAGAGTGCTACGCGTCCGCACTCAAGGGATCGTCGGTATGTGCCCTGGAGGAACAAATCAATCGTGGCAAGCAGCAGGAGTCAGGGACCGACCTGCCAAAAGAAGGTAAAAGGCAGTTCTCCTCGCCAACAGAAGAGCTCGAGCTTGTTCCTTTACTTAGCCCCGAAAAACAAGTAAGTATAGGAACCAAGCTGGGGGCCACTGACAGGGAAGAATTGATCAACTTCCTCAGGTCTAACTCAGACGTCTTCGCATGGTCTCACGAGGACATGCCTGGTATCGACCCGAAGATTATGGTGCATCGCCTCAACATAGACCCATCATTCCGACCTATAAAGCAAAAAAGAAGACCTGTAAATAAAGAGAGGAGTGATGTAATTGTTGAGGAAGTAAACAAACTCTTAAAAGCTGAATATATACTGCTACAAGGTGATGCCTTTTGGTCTAAAGAATGCAGGTGCGACCTACC